AACACGAAATGATAAATATTTGCTGTTATAATGTTTAATTTACCTTTAAGTTCTGTTACTAGATATTAAATTAGGTGAATAGAGCCAATTTTTTTGTCAGACATCGACTAAACAAAAGAGAATTATACACAGTTTAAGAAACGGAACCCCCCTTTGAAAAATCCTGGATCCGCCACTGATTTCGGTTTGGCTTCTTTTAAGATAATATTAAGAACTCTCCTAACACGTAACTTAGAGAAATCAATCGCTCTCTCAGTCTCCTCTTATCTTGGCTTCTCTTTCTTCCCTTCTATTTTGTTCCGTTCCGTTCCGTTCCTCTTTGCTCTGCTCTGCTGCGTTCTGTTTATCCTGCTCATTCCCTTCCCTTCTCTTCTCTTCCCTTTTCTTCTCTTCCCTTCCCTTCCCTTCCCCTCCCCTCCCCTCTCCTGTCTCAGTTCTCTGAGGTCCTCTCTCACCATCATTTTTCTGTTCCTAACAGGCATCGATCAGTCCATTGCAAGGATTTTTTAATTGTATAATCTATGGATGGAGGCGCCGTGGTTTCAAAGAAATTTTACAGCAGAGAAACTACGGAAGTATGGAAAGCTCAAACGGAAGTCACACAAGAACACTCTAGTACTTCATACTGCTAAAAATATTGAATGAGCTATTGTATGGGATAAGAGAAATGAAAAGACTCACGGCTCTTATTTTGCTTTTCGTTTTAAACATAGGAGTTAAATCCGCATTCCATCAGAGCCTGAAGCCATTCCTGCAATAAGTCAGTGCTAAAATAGGTTAATTTCTTTTGCATCATTCGCTGTCTGTTCTACATACACCAAATTGAAAAAACATCGAACTCAAAAAGTTAAATCATCGATCCTAGGGGTATTCTAAGTAGTCAAAATTAGTATTTGGGAAGTGTTTGCATAATATCCATTCCTAGGTTAAAGAAAAGTCTGCCTCGAGTTGACATGTTAGGGCTGTTTTAGGGGAACATATTTCCAAGTTGGCGTGTATTTTGTCCCCAAAAAGCACTGCAATGGCAGTTTTTTTTTCCAACATGCAATGCTAATGTTTTCAAAAATGTGTGAAGATAAAGAAGATAAAGATAAAGATTTTAAAGTAAGAAAAAATATATTACGGTTAAGAAGTGACTGTTTTTAAATTCGAGATCTCTTGTACAATTTTTTAATTCTTTTTTGCGCATTGCTTTACAAGCGAACCTTTTTTTTTTTTTTTTTTGAAAATCGAATATTTATTACAGTGATTTTACTTGACCCGTGAAACAGAATTGTATATAATAACTGACTCGTGTAAATGAATGAAATAAAATAAAAACTCATTATGTATATCTTTTAAACTCGCAACTATCAGTTCTGCAGCAACGGACTACTTCGACGATACGGCGGCCATCTTGGATCGCAAGGCATTTTGGAGAGAGTGGGGGGGAGGGGATAGACCTTTTTTACAGTAATGACGTTGATTGATCTTAACAGCTCGCCAAAAGGGAATATAACAAAAGATGAATTAAGACGTCACATCGATCACTTTTACTCATAAAAATAAACAAACATACGAAACTCTATTATCGGTCATTTTTGTTTTGGCCCCTGGCAAGATGACCGCCGTATCTTGGAAGTAGTGCGTTATCTCAAGTGAAGCATTATAGCTAGACTCTGCCAATTAATTTGTTTGACCACATCCCAACGCATCCAGATATATTCTCAGTTAAGAACCACAACTAATTAGAATATTACAAACAATATCTTTTTTAGTTTATTAGATAAAAATAACAATTACATATAAAATGTGCTAGGTTCAATATCTATCGAGCCCATTAACATGAGCCCTTGCTCGGGAGATTAGGGCAACCACTTCCCGCGCATCGAAGTAGAATAAATTACCTTGAGCTTTTTTTAACGTCTAATCTAAAAACGTTTATTTCGCTAAAATTTACTTTGGAGTGAAAGGTATGGCCTAGTATTTTGTTAAAATTCTAGAAGTCTAAGGAATAAAAAAAAAATTCCAATGTTAGTGGGAATGTTCGATCATTCTAAGTTTTTACGTGTGCACCATGAGAATTGGAAAAAAAAAATTATTATCACGCCCAGAAGGCATACATCATAAATCTGATCGGCTAGCTCTCGTTTGGCTTCTACGACCTCTTGAATATTATATATATTAATAGATGTATACTCTTTATCTAGTGATGGTCGATTCGAGACCGAACTTTCGATTCTTCTCGAGCATTGTCGCTACAATATACATTCCCCCAACAGCATTGCACACTTGTAGGACAAGCACGTGGTTTACACCACCCCTCGTCATCAGCACACGTGCATTTGCGTGTACACGATCGCATAAGTCGTAGCACTTGAGTGGTTTTCCTGTCTGAAGTAGTTTGATTGACGTAGCACTGTGACGTGATGGCGTCTTGGCAGGACTTGTCTTTCATTAGATTTGCCCATACTGGTCCATAGTCTTCTTCATCACAATAGTAGCATTTGAGCTTTAATGTGAGATAAACACCTAGAAACATGCATGGTCAAAGTAAACGTAAGCTCTTGGTGCTTTTGTTTCAGGGTTGGATCTGTCAGTCATACGTATACACCTATTTCGAAAATCGTTCTCGCACCAAGAGCCTCAAGCCAAGGCTCCAGAGAACGTACTTTTAATTATAATTGATTTATTCATGGTTCATGCAAGTGGCTATAGCTCTACACTAATTATCATCTCAAGCAGCCTTGCTTGGAGCAATATGTGAAGTCAATAAATGAAAATGCACCATGAATAAACTAATTACAGCTAAAAGTACCGGCGTTCTCTGCAGTCTTGGCTTGTTGCTTGAGGTTTTTCGTGCGACTACGATTTCTGAAATAGGTATATACAGGTGTATACATGTCGGTTGATATACCTGATCCTCGCTGATCGTGCACAAGTACCGATGTTTCTGGGATATCGAGTGTCCTTCGTCCATGAATACTCCAGAGCTTGAACAGAACCACTAGCGTCATTCCTGTCAGACAAATACAATAGCAGTCATGACTATTTCATAGCGTTGAAAACGCTTTCAATGATGATGATAGTGCTTGTAGTAGTGATGATGATTATATAATGATCATGATGGTGGTGATGATGATGATGGTTGAAGTGATGATGATGATTATATGATGATATGATGATGATGGCGATGGTGGCGATAATAATGGTGGTGGAAGTGATGATGGTGATGATGATGATGATGATGGTGGTGGTGGTGGTAGTGGTGATGATGATGATAATGGTGGTAATAATGGCTATATGATGGCGGTGGTGATCAGATGGTGATTGTGAAGCCATGATGATGATGAAGATAGCGAAGAAGAACTGGCAACCGTGAAATGAAACGAAAAGCCGGATTTGGTAGATGAATTGATTATGTAAAAAACGACCTGTCATCTTGAAATTTCGGCTAACACCATGCATGGCATGCCAGTTACGTTATCCTTTATCATGTTATATCCCAGGAATAGATCTTTTGATCAGGCCTTTTAAATAAAATAGCTAAAGCATTCCCCCAATTTTCCCCATTTCCCCCAAAATATTCTCCTTTTAAATCTCATTAACGTTTTCCGCGACTTTTTCTCATTAACAGCGAATTTAAATCATAGATAATATGACTATTATTGTTGGTAAAATTTCTTTAGACTGAAGTCCTCTTCATTTAGCTTATAGAGTGAAGGCATCAGTTAACTCATTAGAAAAATGTTGTAGTCAATGTGTACTAAATAGTCGAATAGACACAAAAGAAAACACTGGAATTAGAGCCTACCGATGTGTATATATAAGTCTATAATATCTATTTCACGGGTTTAGTGAATTCACTCACTAGCTAAGAAGTTGACATTATATCTAATGCTAATAACTCCACGGCCAAAAATTTTAAGGTGAAATTAAAAGGAAACAAAAGAGAAATGAACTGACGTTGTCTGTTACTTATAACGTCATTAAGTCAACCAGCAAACACTACGTACCTGAAGCAATAAATACAGTCAACAAGCTTTGCCAAGCTGGTCGAGATTGAAAGCGTTTAACCATTTCCATTTGTGGACTTAATCCCTGGGCAGTCATTTTATCTTTAACCTTCAGTGGGAGCCTTGAGAAAACTAATGTCCCTTAGTGACAAAAAACGTCATATGATTTACATATCTTGATCGGACATTTTTTTAAACGGTCAATTGATTGACACCCGAACCACGCAATGTGTCTCCTTGTGATGTTCTGGTTCGTCAAGACGTCTTTCAGTTGTTAAAAAATGCAGGTTTTTCTTGGCTTCGATTTTCATTTGTCTTTTACCAACGGGTGTTGTTGAATACCACCAGTTCCTTCTTCGGGGAATCTTTTGTTAAATCCTGTATTACCAGAAGTGAAACTCTACAAACCGGTCAAACTTGAACGTACATTAGGAAAGATTTCTTTATTTTCCTGAAGTTTTGTGTAGGACTCAATTAACTGGGAAAGAAATTTGGCCAACCATGAGATACATAACTTGAAAGTGCATGTCTGTCACAGCTATCCATAGTTCAACAGCCCCATTAGTTCCCGACACCCGGGTTTCACTAATTAAAAGAATCGGTAAACGGGATGAAAGAGACCACTGTATCAGCTATGGATACTATTGGTTTATCTATAGCCAATTATCGCTAATAGACCGAGTATGGACCAATAAAAATGCAGGATTCCTAATAGACCCTGTAATTGTAATGTAAAAAAGTTTAAGATGAAATAAGGACATCAGTATTCAGATAATGTTACTGAAATCATCGTTATCAGTATTTGTTCAGGTAACTATTTTTATTAAATACATTTTATCATTAATCTATATTAATAACATAATCACGTGGGATAAGGATAAATGTTTTACTCGTGATGGGACTCCTGTGGTTTATGCAAATCATTTGATCGTAACCTGGGGATGTGACGTCAGAACATAAACAGAAGTTCGAAATCTTCCTCCTGCAGCCATTTTGAACTTCAAATCAGATTTTCGACGAAAATCAAAATTCATAGACGCTGAAAAGCCATTGAAAATCTTTCTTATGGAGTATTTAGAGCTAAATTTCATAATGTAGTGGACTTGAGCTTCGTTCAAGTGTAGTTGGCAAGCATTCTTATTCCTTTGCCTGGCACATGTTTGTGTATCCAAGACAATCCCTCAGGAAAATTACTTTTTATTGCCGAAATCATCAGTAAAAATGGGGATCCCTGACTTGGATTTAATGTTCGATGTTCTCGATACAGGAGTAACTGGGTATTTAAATTCATCCCAGCTTCAAGAATTTTACCAAGATATTTATTTTTCGGCTCTGGATCCAAGACAAATTGAAGGTGCTTTGATGACTGTGTGTGGGCACAACAACGATGGACGGTGTTCAAGAGAATACTTCCTTGCAGTTTTAAAAGAACTTGAAAGGCGTCGAACTTTAGAAGACAAGATCTACTGGGATTTTAAAGCTCTAGACTTTGAGGGAAATAACAGGATTTCCATTGAATCGACGTTATTCTTGTTCAAAGCAGTTCATGAAGACGACTTCTCTCTGAAAACCTGGAATTTTTTTCTCAAGCAAAGAAGTCAACCAGAAAATGATGTATCGTTTGATGAAGTGAAGTTATTCCTTTGCAACCTTCCTTCAGGGGGACCGTGTGAGGAGAATGAATATAAACAGGAGAGAGAAGAATTGGAGAAACGTTATTGTACTACAGGGTACAATACTGTCAAAGAACTGGAAGAACTGCAGGTGAGCCGTCCTTAAACTTAATTTTCCCCCTTTAATTCCTGTAAAATTGATAATTTTGTTAGTAAATGTGAGAGGCTTTATATATATAGTGGTATATTTGGGTTGTAATTTGTCTTTTTAAAACCAGGGTTTAAAAGTTGGCTGAAGTCTGTACAATTCAATAATTCTGTGCTAATATGAACATCATTTGCAATAATTCCCAATTTGCATATTCGAAATAATAAAGCTATTTCTGTCAGGTTTTTTTGTTTTGTAATTCCTTATTGTATGTATATCTGTTTTGGAAACATTTGTTGTCTATTATGACTGTGTTATAGGATTGAGGGAATAATGTGCAAAGATTAAAAAAAACTAAATTAAGTTAGTCAGGATCAAAGCCCCATAATAGTAATAAGTGATGGAAAATCGTAAGCTATCACGGATATTACCTTACCAACTTTACATTATCTAATTCAGCCCTCCCCCTCAAATGATGAATGTATCTCATCGGCAAGTTAAGTATCATGTGTCATCCCATGTGCAACTGTTAAACAAGAAAATGATACTCTAGGGTCTAAAATAAGAAAACATTTTGCCCAAGGGTCTGTTGACAAATTCATTTTACATTCTAATATAAATCCATTCTTTAGGCTGATGATGCTAGGCTTGCTGCAGAAGAAAGAGAAAGACAAGAAAAAGCAAGCAAGCTCAAGCGCTCAGCAAGCCGTCGAACAAGAAGGTTGGATCACGAAGGTGTTGAAGCATTATTGCGTGATGATGAAGAATGGGATGAAGAGGCAGCTAAGAAAGCAAGGCAGAGGGTTACTGCATCTGAACTTATTCAAGCACTCAGGACAAAGTAAGAATGTTATTAAAGTTACAAAATTGTGTATATTACATTTATATATTATATTAAAATTATGTATATTAAACTCATCAGCATGGATGAATTGGAGGGAGGAGCCTGAAAAGCTGCGGCATCTCCAGGCGCCAGTGACACACTGTCTGTGTCAGTTGTGAATGATACTTGCCTGATAAAACCAACCAATGGTGGGTGGGTGGGAGGAATAAGAAACGGCAATAGAGCACAACATTTTGATCCGTGCTGATCAACAAACATAGCATGCTATGTGCTATGAAGCCCCTGCAGATGCCTGCGCATTAACCAAAGGCCGCTGGCCAGCATGCCTTGACTTTAACTTTGCCTAAATTTCATTTAGCACCATTTAAATTTGACATGAATATTCAAAATAAATAAATAAGTAACCATTATTTTGAAGAGGGTAAAGATGTATTAACTACAATTTAGAATAGTACGTTTGCGAGATGGTGTCATTTGACTCCTACTACTATTATGCTTTACAAATTTTTTTTACTTATTTAAATTCATGTTCCCTCATGCGAATAGTAAGACAATTGATGCTAATTAATTGAACAAAAGAAAGTGTGCAAGAGAGTCTGGTAGTAGAGGTCAATGACACCATTGTCGACATTGAGCACAATATTACAGGCAATGTTGCTGAAGTAGGATCGTTTTCTACTCTAGAGACATTGCGTCCAACACTTGCGTTGTGTGACATGGCTCGCAACATTGATTGCCTGCAACATTGAGCACAATATTACAGGCAAGGTTGCTGAAGTAGGATCGTTTTCTACTTCAGCTACATTGCGTGCAACACTATCATCGTGTGACATGGCTGACAACATCGATTGCCTGCAACATTGAGCACAATATTACAGGCAAGGTTGCTGAAGTAGGATGGTATTCTACTTCAGAAACTTTGTATACAACAAATTGCATCACGTGACATGGCTCGCAACATCGATTGCTTGCAACATTGTGCACAACCGAGGGACTCTTTTGCATGTCGTTATTATATCTAATATGCCAGTTAACTATTGGTGCAAAGCAAAAAAATTGTTGTATTAATTAATCTATATCTGTTTTTTGATTTGAAGGTATGAGTTCATTCGTCAAAGTCTTCTCACTGAAATGCTCAAACGTCATGTTGGCGAAGGGATGTGGACAGCACTATCAACACAAGAACAGAACGAAAGAATCTCACAACTCGTTGTCAAAGTCAAGAAGTTGCGCAAAGAAGGCCAGCTTGATAGTACTTCAGTCAAAACTCTCCCTGGTTCAGGAGAGGTGTTCAGTAACAATCTTATGGCCATGATGGGAAATAGTCGTGCTGGAGCAAAAAGGCTACAAAGAGAAGAACAAAAACTAAGAGAACTTATGAAAGAAAAGGGTAAGTAAAGTTTTTCAAAAGAGCACAAAAGAGCACAGTCCATTGTTAAAGTGTATATCAAGGGAAAAAATGTATTTTCAAAATCACTTGTATGTGACCAGTGTAGTAGTATGGTTGCAGTATTTTTGTATGTGGTTGAATTTATGTCATGTCATTTGCATATTGATATTTCAAATGTTTATATCTTCGAAAAGAGAAGACCACATACAAAATTACTGCAACCATACTACTACACTGTTCACATACGAATGAATTCCTCTATATATTTTGCGCTATAGGAAAATCAGAAACTGAGATTGAAGAGGAAGTAAAATCCCTTCGTGAAGAGGCAACAAAAGGAAGCAGCACAACGGATCTTTTGCTGATGCAACTCGAAAGACGTTATGCTGAAGATAAAGATCACTTGAGTCGATGTCTACGAGGAGCTGATGGTCATACGATGGTCTTAGAGGAGCGGCTGGTTGAATATTCGCTGTTGCTAAGGGAACAACTACGTGCGAAGCAAGAGAGTCAGTTTTTTGCTACAGCTTGTAGCACTGGTTTAGCTGAAGATCTTCATCAGAATTTGGCTGGGTAAGAATGGTATACTGAACTATTTAAAAAAACGCCTTCTTTATTTTTTTTAGGGATAATTTTATTTTTATTTTTACAATTCAGACAAGATCGTATTCGGCAAGAAAAGCTCGCCTATGAACGACTTGTTCAACGCAAAGGCCGCAAGCTGCAAAAAGAGGTATTATCAGGAGAAACGCTTAGCAAAGGGAACGTGGGGGTTGTAGATCTACTAGAAGATGTGGTAAAGGTCCTTGAAAGAAAACAAGCTTTGGAGAGAGAAGTACTAGTTTACATGCTGCAAGGAAGAGAGAGCTCACGGGCTCGAAGCTATGCCAAAAAATTAACCCCAGGTTAGTAATATTTACCATAGTTTTTGAGGTATTTACGTGAGAAAGCATTACACTCTTTGGAGAGTCTGCGTACGACCACCCTTAGAAAATAATATTGATCGACCAATCACGATTTAGAGTGAAAACTTAAGCCAATCAGGGAAGAGCATAGTGACCTCAGCCAATCACATTCTTGGACAAGTTGTCATACTCGAAAGATATTGGCTACGCTGCTTGTTCCTTATAGACCTCTTGGGCGTAATGTTTCCCTGATTTCAGACCACATGTCATTCTCTTAAGAATAAGATTCTTTGTTACGTTTGACTTGTATCCATATTCATGTGTCTTCTCATAGGCCTTTTCCGAGTTCGATAAACAGGATGCATTGAGGTCTAGCTTCGGTATAAACAACACCATTTAGTAAAAATGCACAGGTGATTACTGAAAATCTCGCGCGCTGATTGGTCGAGAAACTCACACGACAATCACCTCCAGCGATAATCCAAAATGGCGGCCAGCCGCTTTGTTGCTGTTAAGATGAAAAGATGTGTCTTTTATCTTCTTTTTTTCCTTTTTTTTTTCATTATTTGCCTCATCCTCAGTGAATATCGTAGAATATTTACCTCGCCGCTCGAAGACTCGCGTCTCGATAAATATTCCCCGATGTTCACTTCGCCTTCGGCGAATAATTGTTAAATAAGGCGTGATGGACAAAAGAAGTTTGTCCCGAAGCTAGGCCATAATCAACCATAATCACTATCTCTGAAAAGGTCTATGCACAACCATTAAACAAAGAAATGATACTCTAGGGAATGACACGTGGTCTGAAATGGGAAAATATTACTCCCAAGCTAAGGTAAAGAGGTTTCTTGCGTCTTGATTTCATTCTACAGCATAATACTTCGTAAGAGTGGTCCTGGTTTTTTAAATTTAATCGATATTACAGAACAACCACAGATTAAAATGGATTTTTGGGAGGAAAACCGGAAAACCCAGATAAAATACCCTCGAGTCAAGGGGGAACCAAACAAACTCTACTCACATGTGATGCCAAGTACAGGAATCAAACGTGAGACCCTCCACTGCGGCTTTGCCACTTCTCTTAAAGTATAGTATCCACACATTACTGGGAAGACGCCCAATTTCTGCCCATTTCAATTCAGTATATTTTTTGCAGACGAAAGAACCAATCAGCTTCTAGTATTAAGAATGCAGCGTCAAGCATGGAAAGATCGCAGCTCGGACGACAAGTACTCAAGTCGGGACCATCATCGTGCTATTCTACAGGAAGCAGTTGGACTTGTTTTTGAAAACAGGAAAAACGAGATGAAGGAGCTCTCTGGTAATATCCCGGATGACATCAAAGTTTCTTCCGCCATCTTGTCTGAGTTACAGGAGTATCAAGATAAGGAAAGCCGACTGTTGGCTACCTTACCAAACAAGGTAAAGACGCAGAGTCTAAATCAGTTGTGAGAGCGGGTGGGGGTGGGGGTATTGAACCTGTGGATTTGGCGGGAAATTCTAAAGATGAAACGCGTACGCGTCTTTATTGGCGGGAAAATGGTACATTGCCGCTCATATGGCCGAGACCGAGCTAAGCTCCTGGTTATTAGCTATGTTATACAGCAGAAACTTTATTAATCGACCACGACCGGTTTATTCAGGTCAAGTGGCTGCTAAACAGTGGTGGTCGATAAATGGAGGTTGGTTTTGTAATTAATATAGATAAGATGCGTCTTTCAGACTAGTTAGAGATGAATTGCAATGCACTCTAAATTTGAACTACAATACAGTTCACAATCATTTGATTATCTCCTATTTGGTGAATTTGTTTTGAGTGTTTTATTCATTCATCCATCCATTCATTTATTGCAGGATTTGCAAGAACTTCGTCGCATACGCACAGAAGAAGAACAAGCAATCAACGAAGAATGGTTAGACAATTTATCAGCTGTAATACTCGGCACAGAAGAAGGACGAGGGCAAGAAGACGAACTCCTCAAAGCTCTTGAAGACAAGTACGATGCACTGCGTGACAAGCTCCTTCTGGAAGCACTAGAGAAGCAGTTAGGCGCTGCCGAGTGGGCAAGGCTGTCTGAACAGGAAAGACAGGCCAGGCTTTTGAAGCTGAAGTTACAAGAAAAGAGGCTGAGGCAGCAAGGAAAGTTTGACGAGGCTGCAGCGTTGTTGGGAGAAGGTTTAAAGAATGCTGAGTTATTGCAGGTACGTACGTACGGACATTGGGCTCCAATGTTTTATACAATTTACGAATCTTGAACGAAAAGACGAACCTTTTTTACGATTAAATCGTCCTCGTTTTACGAGTGTAGATACTAATAGCCTGAAGCTCACAAGTCTGTAACACCAAGATCAAATAGTGGTTTTGCACCATCACGTGGTTAGAGGACAGAACAATAAAATCCCTTTGCTTTGGGAATTGAATTTTTTCCTTTTTTAAAATATATTTTTAAGATCGTCTTGTTTCTGTCATCTAACATGACTGCCTTCACGTGATTTGCAAAATCTGTATTGGAATCAATAAGTTGATTTTTGCGGAGGGAGGAAAACCGGAGAACCCTCGAAGAAAAACCCTCGAAGCACAGGAGAGAACCAACAAGCAACTGTACTCACGTATGACACTGATGCCGGGGATTGAAACCACAAAGACAACGGTGTGAAGCGGTGCATTACCATCGCACAGCACCCGTGCTTCCCTGATTTCTTTAAGGCTATTGTACAGCTGAATTGCCCTATTTCACTATGATGGCACATCAAAACCATCTAGCGTTTAAACGCAAAGGATCGTGGTCGTCGGAGGGGGTCAAATCAACGCAAATTCACCGAAAATTGTTCTAAAACCCGTATCAATCCACGAAGAGAAGTAGAATAGCCAGCAAACGCTCAGAATATTTTTTAGCACATATTAACGCATATTATATCTGAAAACCAGGCCATTTTAGATTAAACTGTTTTGCTAGGAGCAAATTTTGTTGGATTTTCTATTGGATTTGGCGACTATATCCCCCACATAAACAAGCAGTGACGTCATAGGGAAATAGGGCAATTGAATTCTTGATGAATTACTGATTTTGCCTGGTATATATTTCAGTCGTTACTCGGCGAGAATAGACAACGATACCTGGATCGCCTGAAGGAAAGACTTGCTCGTCGCCAACGACGTATGGAAGAGGGTCTAGACCCCGACGAAGAAGACGAGGAAACCCTTCGAATGCTTGAAGAAGAAGAATCTAAATCAAGCGGTAACATCCTGAAAGACTTGCAGGACAGGTTTGACGAGGAGAAGGATGCTCTACTGCGCAGACTCAGGGTATGGAAGCTTGTGTTTTGTCATTTGTCAGAGTCACTAGCAGAGCTTATGAAAGTTCATCAAAATTCTAAAAATCCTAATCTCTTAATCGGTAATAGTCCCCTTCACAGATCCCTGCGCGTTCCCTGCACAGTTCCCTAAAGGTAGCCGTTCTTTTGCATCGAAGCGAGAAGAACGGTGAGCTTGCAATGATGGAGTTCTTTTTTAACACCTTGAACAATTATCCACATGTTTCTATCATTGCAAGCTCACCGTTCGTCTCGCTTCGATGCAAAGGCACGGCTACTTTTCAAGATGGCGCAGGGAACTGTGAAGGGGACTATTGGCTGTTTCCAGCTATGAAATCCCATAGCTCGTTTTAAATTCGAAACTCCAGGAAACTCCAGGAAGTCCAGGCGATGGTAAATATATGGTAATAGATAATAAATTTCGTGTAAGTTTATTTTCAATCTTTCCGCGATGGGAATCAAGGAATCTTTTATTGACTGACTCGTGATATTCAATCAGTGTTGAAATTCTTTCGTTACCAATAGGAAGAACAAGACCGATTCCTTGCTGAAAAACGACGGCAAGCTGAGCTTGCTCGCTTGAGGAGGGAGAAAAGACAAACAGAACTGGAATCCAAATTTGGCTCAGCTGCTTTGGTTCTCGGTCTTGCAGAGAGAAACAGACTAAACCTTGAAGACAGGTAAATGAAAAAATGTTTTCGATTGTATTTAATTACTCAGTGTTTAACGGATTAGTGTGGGGTTCTGACTTACTGATCAGGAAGTCAAGGGGGCCAGCCCCCCCCCCCCTCCCCCTCCCCCTTCGTGGCGCAACAAAATGCCGGCTTTTTTAAATCGGTAAAACGGTAATTTTCGAATTTGTCTTTTATTTTTGTAAAATTGAAAAGCAAAACGTAATGCCGGTTTTTTTTGGTTCGACGTGTTAGGGGCTCACACAAAATGGACACAATCGCGGATTTTCGAATTTGTCCCTCACACTTAGGAGAATCCTGGTGATTGTCATACTTATGTAATGTTTTAGATATCTCTCCAATACTTTTTGTTGTGCATCATAAACTGCAAGATTAACGCTCGTGTTAATTCCAAATCAGTTCAACTACGAAAAAGTTAGGACAGATATGTGTACAAAAAAAAAAATTAATAAATAAATAAAAGAAAGAAAGAAAGAAAGAAAGAAAAGAAAAGAAACAAGAAAAAAACTGGAGAGAGACCCCTTTACCACACCCAAAATGGATCAAATGAAGAATCGTGTATTCTTTTAATATCCCAAATACAATTTTCATAATTTGAACTTTACTCTGACTTAACTAAGGCTCAAGCGTGACAGAGAAAGACAGGAACAACTTGCGAGGGAGAGGTTGGCCAATAGGAAAGGAAAGAGGGGTAAAGTGGAAGATGATTCCGATGAACCAGAACCCGATAAAGGTAAGGGCCAAAAATCTTCTTGGCAATTCTGGCATCATCATCATTATCATCATCATGTATCATCTTCATCATTATCATCACCATAATGCATCATAATGTATCATCATCATGTATCACCATCATCATCATGTATCATCATCATGTATCACCATCTTCTACATGTATCATCATTATTATTATCATGACCATCATCATCTACCATCATTACCAACATCATTATCGTCGTCAACATCATTATTATCATCATCATCATTATTAT